GATACTAACCTTAACCTTAACCTTAACCTTAACCTTAACCTTAACCTTAACCTTAACCTTAACCTAACCTTAACCTTAACCTTAACCTAACCTTAACCTTAACCTTAACCTTAACCTTTAACCTTAACTTAACCTTAACCTTAACCTTAACCTAACCTTAACCTTAACTTTAACCTTAACCTTAACCTTAACCTTAACCTTAACCTAACCTTAACCTTAACTTAACCTTAACCTTATACTTATAACTTAACCTTAACCTTAACTTAACCTTAACCTTAACCTTAACCTTAACCTAACTTTAACCTTAACCTAACCTTAACCTTAACCTTAACCTTAACCTAACTTAACCTGAATGGAGGTGTTCTCCATATGATGTAGCACGAGTATAGCTTTGTGTCCTATGTGACCCATTTTTCTATGGAGTTTGTTTACGTCCAGTTTCAGCTTTGCTACGTTGGCCCGGTGCGTGCCCCATTTCTCTGTTTTTGTGAGTTGATAGAGGCTTTCAGATTGCGGTATCATGGCTATGACCTTGCGTTGTGGTAGGGGCATTTTTATGAGGCATACACCATTTTCTACGTGTATGGCATATCCTGCACTGTCCATGCGGCTGGCTGATATTAGAATCTGTGCCATGTCGGGACAGTATAGTGTTTCTCGTAGTTGCACCCGAGAGACACTCGTTCCGTTTGGTAGATTGATTGATACAGTGCCCTTGCCTTGGGCATACATTGTTCGTCCATCAGCCAGCAGGATTGGAATGGGGTCAATTGCCTCTACACTTTTGAAGAGGGCCTTGTCAGGACAATAGTTGTTGCTCGCTCCGCAATCAACCAGGGCATTATAGGATGTGCTCAATGAAGATGCTCGAGCACATGTTGCCACAAAAGCATAGACTTCGTCGCTAGTAGTATTTGTTGCAGCAGCCACATTAGCTGTGGGTGTTTGCTGGTTTGTATCAGCCGTTTTGGGATTGGCTTTACGGGTTTGTGGACGTTGTCCTTCTTTTCCTCTTCCGGGTGCATAGCAGTACTCATTTGTATGACCAGTTTTCACAGGACATTTTGGGTTCGAGCATTTAAAATGCTGATGCCGCTCTTGTCGTGTCATTTTGGAGTACAATTTTGCAGCCAGGGCTGATTCGGTTTTTGACTTTGTAGCAATGCTACGATGGTCAGCTTCTTCGGTGATATGGATAATGAGGTCTGCCGAGGATAGTGGTTGTTTAGAAATGTGGGCAGCTGCAGTTATTAATGACAGCAGAGGACAATATGAGGCTGGCAGTGATGATAGGATCATTGCCGAGAAATCCTTTTCGTCTACCGAGGCACCCATGCTTGCTAACTCTTCCTTTAGTCTTAGCAAGTCACCAAGATGAGGCCTGACATTGCCGTTTTCAGGACATCTGAGGTCCTGTAGCCTGCGTCGGACATCAACCTGCATCATCTCTGATTTGCCTTCGTGCATTATGGTTATAGTAGCCCATATAGTGGCTGCCGAGCTTTTGTCCTGTATCTGGATTAATGTCTCATCGTGTATGGTCGAGTATAGCTGTTGTGTGACGAGGCACTCCTTTTGGGTATATTTGTCCACTTTAGCCTCATACTCCTCTATTTGTTTTTCAGTTATTACTGTTCCATCATCTAGTTTAGTTACACCTGCCGAGTCATGCTTGTAATTTTTGACAGGTGGCTTCCAGGCAGATCCTAGTAGGAATCTAGACAGTTCTCTTGCTCCGACAGCAGTAGTGACTCTTGTCTTGTATGTGATCCAGTTCGAACCATCCTTTGCTAGTTTAGGTACTTGAAAAGTAGCACCCGAAGCATTGCTGGTGAAAGACATGTCACCAGGGCTCATAACCTGATGTGATGACTAGAACTGTAAAGTAAAAGACTCTCAGTCTTTCTGGTAAATGACTGATATATTAATCAAATGTACCTGTAAAGTAAAAGACTCTAAAGGAATGTGTAAGTATGAGTTTTAACTGCAATAATAGTGTTTACTGTACCTCAGTCTTTCTGGTAAATGACTGTCTAAGGTAGGATGAGTGCGCTTTTCTGTATCCTAATTAGGAAACTTATGTAATCTATCAGAATGTCGGAATAGTTGAATGAAAGTGACTGCAAGAATGAAGAATCTATTGTAATGTATATAATATGCCAACATGGATATTTCAGATTGTTCGAATTCGTCTTGAGTAAGGGAAGTCATTTTTGAGTTGGTGGTGTAATATGAAGAATAATAATTTAGTTTATTTTCGAGACCAACATAGTTATTCTATTTACAAGCTAACTAAAATACTGAAATAATCAATCATGTTGATGCGAACTCAAAGGACTCTAGAAAGCGACCAAGTCCTTCTTGAGTATCTAGTTGAAATGTGCAGGAAACCTACAGATTTTGTGTAGATTTCCAGAACCGAACATCCAGAGCAAGATTCGATTGAAATGTGCCGGAAATGACCGAGTTTGCGGGACATTCTCATGGTTCATAATCTCAGGTTTTTCGCAGTGCTCACCTCTAGTTTGTGAAATCACCTTCTACCTTCCCAGTAACATCAATGGCAGATACTTCAGTATTAGTAGATCCTTTGCAGTTATGCGCTCCCGACTCCACATACTTAACTTTACTGGTCAACGACCGCCCTGGCTCTCCTCCTGACGGTAACCTGACGAACTCCGCCATGCACGCCATCACATTCGATGAGGTGCACTGTCTGGCATCTCTTCATGAATTCCAACCCTTCGATCCTCTCCATTTCCGGCTCCAACATCCCGCTCACAATAGTCGTGTCTACGACAACGTCGATGTTCACCACTATCTGACTTCTTACGGCCCCCCTCCGAGTGTTGTGCCTGTTTACACAAACTGGTTCAGGCCTGGGTTTAGCTTTACTACAATCAATACGGAAAATGATATATACGAATATCTCACCCAATGCCAGTTCATGAAGCTGGGAAACGTTGCGGAGAGCTTGTATTGGACAATTATTGATGGCAGTCCGGTAGTGGTGCGGCCGGGACATCATTTATTACGGTTCACCAACACCCAAAGCGGTAGAGCAGGGCGACCGGACATCTTGCTAACCCTCCCCCATGGCCCACAGAGTTCACCCGCCCTGTCGCCAGTATTGGCGGTGGAGTTGAAGACAAACAAGGCATGCAAATCGTTTCAGGGAAGTACTCTTGGGAGACTCTGCCAAGGGGTGGCAGACCGTACTTACACGCCCAATCGGTCAGCTGAGAACAGTGGTGAGCGTGACTGGAAGGTGAAGGCTCAAGCCCTAATTGCCCAGGTAAAGTGATTGTTCATGCTAGTTGAGCAGCAAACATTGATATTTTGTGAATTGAGGTGTGGAACCAATCAAATACCAGGCGGTTGCAACATCAAATAATCTCAACCTCCACCGAATATCTTTTTGCCTATAGAGAGGGCAATACTTACTTCATATCTGCCATATATGATTGGAACCCACCTGACTTGGAAACAAGGCGGACGAACTGGGTTCGTCTCGTTGTGTACGTAACCCACGCCATGCTCAGTCGGTATCCCACTGGGTACGCAGGGCCCCATTATCCCCTTGTTTTGCCGTATCTGGCTTCGCCATTGTTGGACCAATATGTAGCTGAGCTACCACCACCACCGACAAGCAAGCAAGATGGTGAACAATCAGGAGAACAGGTAAGCTTATTTTACATGCAAAGTGTGACATGCAAGCTGAAGCTTTTATCTGCGCGACAGTCGCATGACCAACAGGGAGGCATGCAATATGCGTTCAAGTGGTTCTACCAAATGGTTATCCCGCGCGTGAAACCTTCGTCTGTGGTGATGTACACTGGCCAGCGTGCAGGCCGCTCTTTCGCTCTTAAGGAACTGACCAACATGGAGACGAAGAAGATCACCTATCGTGATGCTCTCCTCTGTCTCATGGAGCTCATCAGTGACAGTAATGGCTGCAAGGTGTACCGAGGAAAGATGGACAACAAGGACGTCGTGGCCAAGGTGATGAGCGGTGGGGAGGCCAAAGAGCGGATGAAGGTGGAGAAGGACATATACGACAGATTGCTCGACATGCAGGGAAGTAGTATCCCTCAATGCTATGGTCTGTTCGAATGTTTGGGATCCAGCTACATCCTCGTGCTGTCCCACTGTGGCGATCCGCTGGAGGCATTTTCGACTCTCCACAAAGCAGACAAGTAAGAGAATCATTGCTCTACATATGAGTTGACGTTGACACAGACAATATTGCTTAGACTACAGCTGATGAACATATTGATCAATATCCACAAGCGTGGTGTGATCCACAATGACGTCGAGCCCCGAAATGTGGTGCGCGGGCGTCAACGGAATCAACTCAGCCTCATAGACTTTGGCTTGTCAGAGGTGCACAAGTGTGGCAGGTTTTGTGATGAGATTGATAATGCCACAATGGAGTTGGAAATCTGAGCTTCCAACACAACTACTGTAAGCAAATCATTGTTGGACTTATTTGTTGGACTTGTATCTATTTGTTGGACTTGCATGTATGTAGATGTGTGTTCAAAATTGTGTCATTGATTGAACGAAAGTTAAGTGGGAAAGAAAGAAAGAGCAAAGCGAAGGGCGTCCAGGACGCCCGTCTGCCAGACTCACATGACAGCAGCTATACAGAAAAGTGGGTGTTCATGAGAGACCTTTGCTGCATATTGGGCTGCGTCATCTAAAGTCGTCAAACGCCAAGTGGGCGTCCAGGACGCCCGTCCGCTGGACGTGGATCTCTGTCACATTGCGGCCGACGGATGTAGTCTTCTGTCCCTGGTGGGCGTCCTGGACTCCCATCAGCTGAACATGGCCCACACATAAATTTCATTTCCCCGCCGCCCACGGATGCAGGGTCTCTCCGTCATGGGCGTCCGCGACGCCCATTTTCGTTCTGGTTGATTTAACCTTTGCATTTGATGTCACATTTATAGCATGTGTATATATACATTATATCTATCAATACAGTAAAGTCCTTCATGCAATATGAGTGCGTTTCCCTCGACGACGTTTATTGGGACCCTTTGTCTCCTTTGACTTCGACGCTTCAACGGTTGTCTGATGTTCCTCAACGTCTACGTCGCTTGCAGATGGCAACGGTGTAAGCGGGGATGACGCTGAATCCACATTCTTTAACGCAGCCAACGCAGCTTCTTCCTCCTGCTCAGGGTCTTGATCAAACAGCGGATCATCAATCCTTAGTTGCTGCACGGAGGGGAGAGTCGTGACTGAGGGTTCGGGAGGATCGAGGTCCATAGGGGCGCCAGATCCGGATGCCATTGAAGTAGAAGGGGCTTGCTTCCGAGCCTTCTTCTGCGCGACAGCGTGGTCAGCCTGAGTCTCCTTTAGCTTCCGCTTGCATGATCCTGTTGTGGAATTGTCTGGAGCGTTGCTGACGGCCTTTCCTTTCCCTTTGTCCATGCATTTTGGGCGGATTTTGGGCTTTGCTACCGCTTTGCCTTTGCCTCGGCTTGTAGCAGGGATATCCGTGTTGTCATCATCGCCCAAGGAGAGAATGGCGTCGTCGTCGTCCGTCAAAGAGATCTAATATAAACCAAATGCTCAGACTTCGTGGGCGAAGCTCTGAGAATGTATTCGCGTACCTAATATAAACCAAATGCTAGGTACAGAGTAAGTATATCACAAAAAACAAGGAAGGTATAAGATCCTCACCTCAGACTTCGTGGGCGAAGCTCTGAGGTGGGCGATCGTTGCTACGAAGGTTTTTAAACTCGAACGGAAGTATAACTAAGGGGGTAAATTGCCCCATCAAAACGCACGGGCCATCCTACCACTACACTTTGTTAGTATGGTGTCCTGCGCCATACTTTCCCTTCATACGACGCTTGTCTTTGTCGACTCGCGTTTTCTAACAGTCCGTTGGCCCTAGAAACACATTTTCTAGAATACCTCATGATTCATTTTAAGTATTTCAGAATAAACAATAACATACTAATAACCACATCTGTGCCAACAAAGGCGGCGTGCATAACTCCTTTATCAAATGATATATTGTTGAGGAATACATCCGGAGTTCCTGTGGCAATGAGACGATAAATGTGAACTTGCTTCGTTTGCGGTTGACGCCAAACACGGCCCCGTAGTTGAGCATCCTCCTGATCAGACCACAAAGTATCCTAAACAAGAAATAGTGTTGAGTGGAACGTCCCGAACATCAGCATGGTATGTTTCACTCACCACAATGATCAGGACGTTAGCGAACACCAAGTTTAAGCCTACCATACCAACGCCTGAAAGAATAAGCACACAAGGTCCTGACTCCTTGTTAGATGTGCGGAAGGCATCGATGGCTGCTTGACGTTTCTTCACCGGCACGCTACCGTTCAATTCTACAGCTTCAATGCCATAAATGGCAAGAATCTTTAATGCGGTTTAAGCGTTAGTGTACGTCGTGTAGTAAATGAATGACTCACGTCCAAGATTGCGTGATTAGATGTCGGGAATGCTGAATACACTACAATTTTGTCGCACTCTGCTGGGTTGCGTTCGAAAGATCCGTACCGATTGTCTGGCTGAATATGACGCCCATCCTCGGTTGCCATCACCAGTTGACGTCCGTCTTGCTGGAGGTGATAGTCGATCACTTGTCCGAGCACATCGAGCTTCACAGTCACCATTGCCTTATCACACCATTCCTCCAATGTAAATGGCTTCTCCGATGGCTCTGTGTTCCTGGCTTCATTCGCCTTTGGATGTAAAGAGCTCTGCAAAATTTGTTATAAAAATTCTGTTAAAGCGGTGAGATTAGTAAAAGTAAGGTCTGTGGAGGTGGGGGGCGTCCAGGACGCCCTTCCCACATAGGAAGCTCACCTTTCCAGCGCCGTAGTACGCAGCAGTTGGATGATCATCCACAAGCTCCTTTGCGATGTTGTGCAAGTTTTTGCGCTCCCAATTGTACATAGAAAGTAGCAGAGGGTGCTCAGTGTGAGGGGACAACCCAGAAATTGGCTGTTGACTGAAATCCTTTGAGTCCACAGTCCTGCGAATTACTGAACCCGCGAATTTGTCGCGCATGACGTTCATCCAACTGAGGATGGATGTGCGATATTCAGACGCGTTGTCGTTAGCAAATTTGTTGTTACCAACCATGACACCACGAAGAAGGGTTGCATCAAGGTTGTCTTGCTTTCTCGACCTACAAACTTTACGCTGAGATGCGTTTATCTCCTTGTTCATAGTCCTAGATTTGTTGTTATTATTGGGGCCTTCAAATCCAGACAGTCCCATGAAGCGACCAACGTGCCATAGATCCTACATTCAAAATACAAATTCATTAGCACTGATAATAAATATTCTTCACATTGGCTTACAGATGGTCTTGTCAGCACCGGTGTAGCAGTTAGCGCGATAGTGACATTGGCCTGATGACGTAGAGCCCAAACTGCGACGTAGAGCTTGTTGTATTTCCGCGCGTCGTGAGCTTCGTCCATAATAAAAAGACCCTATTGTTGGCTGTAGACCATGTTTTTGATCCATTTTTGGTGCAGAATGGCAAATTGAGGCTGCGCACCGAGGTTGCTGTCCAAAGCAACCCAGATGGTGTCTGAATTGCTTTGCAATGCCTAAGTCATACTACATCATTAATGAGAGATAATCATATCAAAGAGATTAAGACTTACCGTTTGAGGAGCCAGTACGATGCGATGACCAGGGGACATTTTGGATTGCGTCCCTATGGTCTCCCACCATTGCTCCCGTTATTGCAGTTTGCCCGTGTAAGGCAAAAGGTCGAAGGTTCCGTAACGTAAATACCGCTCAATCTCGTTCGTTAACTGAGCGTGGAGGTTCGTGGGGCAAATGATGATCGTTGGATAATCAGGTAGATTGGCCCCAGTTGAGGCACACTTGTATTGACCTAAAGAACGAACGAGAACACTGTTAGCCAGTTTGACCGTCCGCGACGCCCGAGCGGTACTACTTACCAAAGATCCCAGGAAACTTGCCATGCGTGTCATAGAAATTGCGAAAGTAGGCAGCGCATGCTACCACTCCGATTGCCTGCATCATTTTACCTACGCTGACCTCGTCTATCAGCAATACCGGTTCTCCCTTCAGCATTTTGTCCATCATCTTCACAATGCCGACCAGTTGATGCCATTTCGGAGTCAGTGCGACCGCTGCTTGATTTTTGTCCAGCCATTTCTGCCCTTCATTTGACCAAGGCTTAACCGTGGTGGTGGGATCAGTCTTGGTCTGAAAATGTGGGAGAGTGTGCGATTGTTCCAACCCGAGCATCCACCAAAGGTTGTCCTCGGTTTTGTCCGCGAATTCTTCAACTCCTTCTTTCCAAGCAACCGATGTTCCTGATTCAAAGTCAAGGGCGGGCAAGTCTTGCGTCTCCAGATCCATAAAGTGTTTCATAAACTCGTGGATGGCTCGTTCCAATGCTGAGACTTGGTCCGTGGTGGCCAGTTTCTCCAATGCATCTCTTAACATTTTAGGGATACCTGTAATCAAAATCCACGACTCAACTCAATGCTATCAAAAGGACTTTGAAAAAATCAACACTTACACATCTTATTGCCGTTTCCATTCTTATCCAGGCCCATGGCTCCCAGCATATCCACAATTTGTTGACGCTGATCTTCCATCTGTTTGACGGATTCTGGATCGTCGTATCGTTTCAACAATCAATTTGTCCCAACTAGCCAGATAGTGTCGTATGCGAGCTGATGTCGGTGTAGTGTCACCTGTAGTCAACTCTGTTTGAGAATGCGAAATAAAACAGTGGGTAACGTGTGATCATATTGAATGGCGACAACATTAAACATACCTAGCCAAGATGTGTTTACTGTCACCTGAAGTTCCACCATTTTGACCCGCTCGCAATTCAAATTTTTCCGGTATCGGTTCCACGTGCATGCCATGATCCGCTCGAGGAAGTCTTGAACATTGTCTTTGAGGAACGTCGCAGTGGCATCAGCGGCACCGTCTTCACCAAAGAGTGCATATGCGAGGAATGGATATGCCTTGTGAACCTGAGCTCGTTCTAAAGTCGGAAGCTAAGGGGTGATTTCAGTGTAAGTGTGTGGAATCATCAATATCACTCTCTTGACATTCGGAAGACTTACATCGCGGGATTTCCTCGTAAGGGCCACAGCCCTGCTCCTTCAATGTAGTGTCAATGATATCCTGAGCCTTCCACACGGACTTCCAGTTTGCGCTGACAAAGGACGTCCAAGCTGAGCGGCCTTCCACATGTTCGTCCGATTTCCGCTGAGTGACTTGTAGCTTATTGCTTGTCGGTGCTGCAAAAAAGGACGCCACAAATGATGAAACCGCTTCATGCGTTTGGACGCTCCAATGGACAATATTGTGAACGCCATCTTCTACGAGCCAGGATGCGGTGGGGTAGCCGGTGATCACTTGCCAACGACCCCAGCCCCAAGGATTGTTGTCGGGGTCAGCGAGAGCAAGCAGCGCACCCGCTATGGTGAAGGAGGGCATGGTTTTTTCGATGTATTCAGTATGAGGTAAAATGGAATGGGTGAGTTTGGGGGAGCAGCAGTTTCAAGGACTCAATTTATTCAATGTTTCGAAGTCCGACCCCTTTGACCACATACATGAGGTGGATATTAGACTGACACCATGATACCTCGAGGCGAAGCACTGTCATTGTCAACAAGAACAATGTAATGTCTCATTGACTATTGTACCATGTGATGGACACTTGAATAATAACAAAGTACTTACCGGCCTAGCAAGGAACATTGATCAAAGCAGGTGAAGCAAGGGCTTTTTGGGCTTCCCGGACGCCCCCCCGTGGCACTACGTGAGAATCCAATTGTAAAGTGTTATTGTGGTACATGGGTTATGGGTTACGGGTTAACCCAAGCAACAAAGATCGAAGCGGGCAAAGCAAGTGCTTTGTGGGCGTCCAGGACGCCCACCCGTGGAGTCAGGTGAGAATCCCTTGTAAAGTGTTATCGTGGTATATGGTTTAACCACAGCAACAGAGATCAAAGCAAGTGAAGCAAGCGCTTTGTGGGCGTCCTAGATGCCCAACCCTGGCGCCAGGTGGGAATCCCTTTGTAAAGTGTTGTGGTATATTTGGGGTTACTCTAAGTAACAGAGATCAAAGCGGGTGAAGCAAGTGCTTTGCGGGCTTTCTGGACGCCCACCCGTGGCACTACGTGAGACTCACTGTAAACACTTTATTTGTGAGCTTGACAAAAGCACCACTGTGCGCGTCCCAGGCTTCCAGGACGCCCACAGTCTCTTGATGGAGTATAAAATCCCATTCTAGTGTATCTCTTATCGCCTCTGCACATGAAGCCTGGAGTCTCATGTTTGATCGGCTCTTCCCTCCCAAAAATAATCCCGCTAAAAATTGACTTCACAATTTTCCTTGTTGCCAATACTATGTTCAATATATGGAACTTATGCGTAATGTGGGCTCAAAGAGCGCAGGGGTTATTCGAAAAGCCTTACATGCAAAATTCAATACAATAGCTTGGGTTCCTCATTCTGAGATTGATAGGATGTTGTGCACATCTGTAATGTATGGTGGCAATTGGATTTTACTTCCACCAGGGGGTCACAGTGCTAGACCCCAAATCACTATTAACCTAATTCAACATCGCCGTCAACCAATTTTGCTGACAATACAAGATCCTCCACAGGAGGTCAGAGGGAATAGAAGAAGGATCCAGGACAGATATGAGCATTTGAGAGAGGAAGAGGAGAGTGATGATGAATGATGATGCAGCTTAGCAGTGTAAATTGGAATTCAACTGGGCCTTTATGTAATAGTATATTTGTTATTGATACAATGTATATCACAAGATACAAGATATGGTTGTCATCTTTAATCAATGTTGCACATCCCTATATATGTGGGCGTCCATGACGCCCAATTGGCATGCCAACACTTACATTGCTCGTCAATGCCACAAGGTTTAGCATTTGGGCATAGGCAGCTGTGTAAATGTTCTTGCGGTGCATGGGCGTCCTGGACGCCCCTCCGTGTCCTCACAAGGTATTTATTTGAGCACGAATCCAAGGATACACTGGATGAACTATACGTGGGCATCCTGGACGCCCAAATCCTTTGCTACGGCTTTTTGAATGAACACAATGAAACATTCAAGACATGACATTGATATTGTCGACAAAATACTGTACATAGCTATATTCCTGCACAATTATGACAATGTTGAGTGACCGTTACTTCTGGCCTCGCACAGCGGCCTGCCTTGAACTCTGGCGCTGACCACGGCCCCCACTTGATCCTCGGCCCCTACGTCCTCTTCCTTTAGTTGACCCTTCTGTGACATCTTCTGATTCACTCATGGGAGGGACTGTGGACAGTGGAGATGAGGGCGGCTCTGTGGAAGCCCGCGCAAAACCATGTTGAAGCGCTGCCATTGCTGCATCTTCGTCTTGGTAGGGATCACGATCAAAATTAGGATTGCTGGCTCGGAGAGTTTCAATATCAGGCAAGGAGATATTGCCTGCAGTCGATGTACCATGCTCGCCAGAGAAAGAGGAAGGGCCCGCAGTCGAGAGAAGAGGGACATTGGCTGATTTACGCGTCTTCTTCGGTTTTACGACAGTTGCGTCAAGTTGCTCTTGGCTTGGTTTGCGCTTGCGCAATGTGCGCAAGGAGGAACCTTTGGCTGTGTCATCAAGTTTTTTGCCTTTCTCTTGGCGAGTGACCCGTCGCTTTGGCTTAGTCTTTGCCTTCCCTTTTCCCGTGGCTTTGGGGCTGGTGGGCTCATCCACGTCCATGTCGTTCCCAATCGCAATGTGCTCTTGATCGTCATCGCTAACCAAGGAAAGCAGGGCGTCGTCTTCTTCTGCGTGGCCGAGGAAGGCTTTCCCTGAGAATATATCGTATTAAATAAATGAGCAAGTCAATAAAAATGAATACTGACTAATGACTACCTCTGTTCCGACAAAGACGGCATGCATGACGCCCTTGTCGAAAGAGATATTGTTGAGGAAAACGTCAGAGGTGCCCGTAGCCACTAGACGGTAGACGTGGACTTGCTTCGGCTGTGGTTGATGCCACACACAACCTCGCAGTTGTGCGTCTTCCTGGTCAGACCAAAGCGTATCCTAGAAAATGAGAGGGTTAACGAATAGTCGATGATACAATGTGATCAGTACCCACCACAATGATAAGGATGTTGGCGAACACTAAATTTAAACCTACCATGCCGACGCCCGACAAAATAAGCACGCGAGGACCGGAATCCCTGGTAGACATGCGGAACGCATCTATTGCTGCTTGATGCTTTCTGAGTGGCACACTGCCGTTCAACTCCACAGCTTTGATGCCATAAATACTGAGGATCTTGAGATAATGCGTTAATATGCTGATAACATAGAAAGATCATATAAACTTACATCTAGAATTGCTTGGTTAGATGTTGGGAATGCCGAATATACAACAATTTTGTCGGGTTCGGCGGGGTTGAGGTCGAAGGACCCATAATGATCGTCAGGCTGAATGTCCCGTCCATTATCCGCGGCGGTGACAGGTTGACGTCCGTCTTGTTCGAGGTGGTAGTCGAGTACTTTGCCTAAGACGTCGAGTTTCACTGTTACCGAGTCCGTATTACGCTATTCTTCTAATGTCGTAGGTTTCTCCCATGGCTCTATGTTTCGCGCTTCGTTTGCCTTCGGATGGAGGAGAGCCCTACGGAATTTGTTGTAAAAATTCTGTGCAGTGAGTTGTGAGTCATGAGTGGGTTGAGTGTGAGGGGGAGGCGTCCTGGACGCCCAGGAAGCACAGTTACTCACCTTGCCAGCGCCATAATATGCAGCAGTCGGATGGTCGTCCACGAGTTCTTTCACAATGTTGTGTAGGTTCTTGCGCTCCCAGTCATACATCAAAACAAGTAATGGGTGCTCGGTGTGAGGAGGCAAACCAGAGATGGGTTGTTGATTACAATCTTTTGAGTCGACGGTCCTGCGAATCACTGATCCAGCAAATTTGTCGCGCATGACATTCATCCAATTGAGGATGGACGATCGATATTCGGAGGCTTCCTCATTCGCGTACTTATCGTTGCCGACCATAATGCGGAGGAGAGTCGTGTCGAGATTATCCTGTTTTCTCGACCTTCAATCTTTCCGTTGGGAGGCGTTGATCTCTTTGTTCATCGTCCTGTATTCATCAGCGTTGTCGGATCCTTTGAATCCTGGAACACCGATAAAGCGACCGACGTGCCATAGATCCTGAAGTGAAGGATCAACCAGAGGGTAAATGACTGATAACAATTCGAGATTTTTCACTTACTGATGGTCTTGTTAGCACGGGTGTAGCGGTGAGCACAATTGTGACATTGGCTTGCTGATGAAGGGCCCGCATGGCGACATAAATCCTATTATATTTGCGCGCGACGTGAGCTTCATCCATCACGAACAGGCCCCATTGTTGTCCGTATACCGTCTGTTTCACCCATTTGTTGTGTAGTAATGCAAAACGCGGCTGCGCCCCAGTGTCGTGGTCAGAAGCAACCCAAATAGTATCAGAATCACTCTGTAATGCCTATGAACCGATAAATGTGAAATTTGCCTAGTGAGACATGAAACGCGAGAGATCGACTTACAGTTTGAGGCACTAATACAATGCAACGACCAGGAGACATTTTTGATTGGGTCCATATAGTTTCCCACCATTGCTCGCGCTGTTGGAGTTTGCCGGTGTAAGGCAAGAGGTCGAAGGTTCCGCGACGTAAATAATGTTCGATCTCGCTCGTGAGTTGAGCATGGAGGTTGGTCGGGCAAACAAGAATGGTAGGAAGGTCTGGGAGGTTAGCCCCAGTGGAAATGCATTTATATTTACCTGGATGAGAGTTAGTGTGATCGACCGTCCAGGACGCCCGAACGTTGTACTTACTAAACATTCCAGGAAATTGTTCATGTGTCTGATAAAAATCACGGAAATAAGCTGTACACGCGATGACTCCAACCGCTTGCATCGTTTTCCCTACGCCGACTTCGTTCATTAACAGCAATGGCTCTCCCTTCAATACCTTGTCCATCATCTTTACGATGCCGACCACTTGGTGCCATTTAGGTCGAAGGGGGACTGCTGCGTTGTTTTCTTCAAGCCATGTCTGGCCTTCGATGGACCAAGGTTTGATACTGGCCGTTGGATTGGTCTTGGTTTGGAAGTGTGGGAGGGCGCGCATCTGTCCTAGTCCCAGCATCCGCCAAAGATTGTCCTCCGATTTATCCGCAAAGTCTTCCACGCCCTCTTTCCATGCAACCGCAGGCGGCAACTTGAAGTCCAGGGTGGGTATGTTCTGCATGTCCTGATCGGTCAAGCGCTCCATGAATTCATGAATAGTGCATTCCAGAGCTGAGACTTGGTCCGTGGTGGCGAGTTTTTCTAATGCATCTCGCAGCAATTTAGGAACACCTATAGACAAAATTAAAACCAACAAGGTAAGTGCTGAAAATACTTCGAAACAAGTTGCGACTTACGCATCTTGTTTGATTTTCCACTCTTATCAAGACCCATTGCTCCAAGCATGTCAATAAGTTGTTGGCGTTGATCTTCAATCTGTTTGACTGACTCAGGATCGGTGTAGCGCTGCAACAACGTGATAACCTTATCACTGCTGGCCAGATACCGTCTGATGCGAGCTGATGTGGGGGTGACGTTGGTTGTAGTTAGTTCTGTGAGAGCGAGAAACATTGTTGTTAGAATAATAGTCAAAGAGTTAGAAGTTCGCATACCGGTCCAAGATGCTTTCATGTTTGCCTGCAATTGAACCATTTTCACGCATTCGTGATTTAGATTCTTGCAGTAGCGGTTCCAAGTGCACGCCATGACTCACTCGATGAAGTCCTGTACATTATCTTTGAGGAAGGATGCGGTGGTGTCTACAGTGCCATCCTCTCCGAAGAGAGCATGAGCGAGGAATGGATATGCTCGTTTCACCTGAGCTCGTTCCAATGTTGGGAGCTATGGGGTCAGAAAATAAGATATTAGTACGTGATGACATTCCAAAATGAGAATACTTACCTCGCGGGATTGCCTGCGGGACATTACCTCATAAGGGCCACAGGATTGCTCTTTCAACGTAGAGTCAATGAGATCCTGAACCTTCCACACCAACTTCCAATTCGCGCTGACAAAGGATGTCCAAGCGGCACGACCTTCAACATGCGAGTCTGATTTGCGCTGCGTGACTTGCAATTTCTCGTCGACATGGGCTGCAAAGAACAATGAGACAAAGGACGACACCGCCTCACGGGTTTGGGCGCTCCGATGAACAATATTTTGAGGGCCATTGTCGACGAGCCATGGGGCTGTATGATATCCAGTGAGCGACTGCCATTGACCCCATCCCCAAGGATCATTGTCGGGATCTGCAAGAGCTAGCAAGGCGCCAGCAATGGTGAAGGAGGGCATAATGTTGGATTTATTGTTAGAAATGTGGATATGGTGTTATGATGTGAAATGTTGGGGTAATTGGTTAGCAGCAGATTGCTCGAGAGTCACTTTATTAAATTTTTTGAAAGTCCGACCCCTTTGACCACATGCACGAGTTGCACACTGTGAACTGATAGCATCAGGCATCAAGGCATTGTCAAGGGTGAGCTTTCTAAAACACTGATCAAACTGAGTATCTCATACCAAGTGTTTGTATAATTATGTCTCATTGCTTTGCTACTTATTACACATATAGAGTGTAATGCGAAACAAAGCTATATTATGTTACAGGTTGGTCAAAGCAAAGCAAAGAGCTTTTTGGGCTTCCAGGATGCCCCACTGTGGCAGTAGGTAAGTTTTGTTTTTAAAGTGTCCCAAATGCAAGGATGTGGGCTTCCCGGACGCCCCTTGGTGCCACTGGCTGAAAGAGTGCTTGGACAAAGCTACACAAAGCACATTCCGGGCGTCCAGGATGCCCGACTGTGGCATTGAGCTTAGGAATGCTTTTCAAGCGCTGTAAAGCAATGCTGATTGCATTCCAGGCGTCCAGGACGCCCACCTGTGGCACTGAGCTTGGGAGTGCTTTGCAAAGCACTGCAAAGCAACCCTAAGCGCATTTTGGGCGTCCAGGATGCCCCAATGTGGCACTGAGATTGCTTTGCAAAGCACTCCTAAGCGCATTCTGGGCTTCTAGGATGCCCAATTGTAGCACTAAGCTCAGCATTGACGTTTGATCCATACTATGGTATACTTTTCGGGGAATCTTTCTTCTATTCAGCACTGCAAAGTAACCCTAAGCGCATTCTGGGCATCCAGGATGCCCCAATGTGGCACTGAGCCTGGGATTGCTTTGCAAAGCACTGCTCAGCGCATTCCAGGCGTCCAGGATGCCCTATTGTAGCACTAAGCTCAGCATTGACGTTTGATCCATACTATGGTATACTTTTTGGGAAATCTTTCTTCTATCTAGCGATTGCTTTAGCAATTTCTTCCTCATCCACATTGCCTTCATAGAGCTTTTCATGCAGGGACTCCAGTGGTAAACCTTTGATAACATCTGGAGGATTTACAATGTTCCTCAATGACTTACTCATCTTGGCAGAATAAGCATCTCACATCATCCTATGGCATAACACTTCTTTGAAAGGTACTTGTCTAGTTACTTATCTGGTTAAGATGAATGTGAAGTACCCAGAAGAAAAGAATGTCCCAACCTACCTCTAGCATAGATGACGCATAAGATTGTGCAAAGCGCTGCTGAGGGTGTTCTGGGCTTCCCAGACGCCCCAAAGTGGCACTGCCCGACCACTGTGCCAAGCGCCATACATTGCATGTCTGGGCGTAGAGTGTCTGGAACCTTTGCTACCCTTGCTGAAGGGTCAGTGCAATCCAGGCATCGAAGACGCCCAAATAGGTTACCACAGGACTTTGCAACTGAGGTGTGCATCACACCTTTGTGTTCACGTCGCACCACTATGTTATGTCATGATGCAATCAACCAAAGTAATGCAATGTGTACTACCTGCTCGTCTGTCAAATTGTAACCCCTAGACTTGGTGTGCAAGCACAAATGCCAGACCTCAACCCACAGCGCATATAGTTTGCATCTTACGGCATACCACAGGTGCAGTTTGGGGCATCCAAGAAGCCCCTTTACATGCCGTCCTCCCATGGCAGTAGGCAAGTGCTTGCGTGGATGTATACCCATGCCCTGAAAAGCATGAAAATTTGGGTAAATTCCAACCCTAGGAATGGGTCTGAACCAACCTACAATGTCTCATAACCAACACTTGAACGAAGGCCAGTTGCCAGTGGTCGACCTCGAAAACTCAGTAGTATGGAAGCCACTGTGAGTTTTTTTTCGCTTTTTATCTTTGGCTCATTTTTTTGATACTTATTGCTCAAAAGTTCCTTGAAGGATGTATTGAGCGGCAGCCTGACATGCTCCTGAGGGAGTTACAAGAGCAGTTGAGGGAGGTATGTGGTGTGGAGGTACATCTATCGATGATCCTTAGGACCCTGCAGAGGCAAGGGTTTACCATGAAAAAGGTGAGAAAATCAGTTCCTATCTACTGATACTATTAAGAACAAAGCTTGAAGGAAGTGTCTAGCCACTTGCTGAGAGCAATCAGGGACTGGAACTAGAGTCCAATGTGAGTAACTAGAGAATAGGAAGCATTGGACTCTGCAGTACTGTCCGATGTTTTGTAAACAAAAGGTAAACAAAGCAGCCACAAAGGCGAAATAATAGAGAACACAATCAATAGTGAATGATAGAAGAATAGATAGAGAAAGAAGTGAAAATATATAGGTAGCACAAAGGTGCAGAATCACCAAAACTAACAGATACTAACTATTGTTTCTAGGTTACCAGTTCAGCATGCAAGTGTGATGAAGATGACAGGGCCATCTTCAAAATACTTGTTGGGGAGCATTTTTGACCAGATCAGCTGGTCTTTGCAGATGAAACTCACTTTAACAGGCACACACTGCACCGCCCATATGCTTGGGCTCCTCAAAATCACCGTTCTCGGCGCCGTGACTTTTTTGTTCGTGGTACACGGTACTCAATACTTCCTACCATGTCGCTGGATGGGTTATTGCACTTAGAAGTACTTGATCATCCTTTCAAAGGTCCAGAGTTTCTGGAATTCGTTGAGGGTGTTTTAGACCGTATGCAGCCATGGCCACTCTCCAATTTTGTGTTAGTGATAGACAACGCGACAATCTATAAGGTCCCAGGCATTTGAGAACTAGTAGAGTCAAGGCAAGTACTTTCCCCCCTTCTATTTCCGCTACTAATGTTGGTGTTTTATTCAGGGGAATGCGTCTATTATACCTCCCATCATATTCCCCGGATTTAAATCCTATCAAAGAGGCTTTTTCATCTGTAAAAGCCTGGCTTCGAAACAACCACGACTATGTCCTTGGTGAAACAGAGGGTCCTGCCTGTGACTCATATGCCTTGATTTGGGAGGCTGTTTGCCATTCAATCGTTTTTGTTTCCACAAGTCTAATCGCTGACTTCGTCTTCCTCGTCCCTATTCTTATCCTCCTCCCCGTCGGCATCATCAGCATCATCAGCATTATCAACTCCAGTTCTGATCCATCTGATCCAATCTTGATAACTTCCAAGCTCTTATTATGCCTTCTTTTCTTTTCCAAAACGACAGGGAGGCCCTTGACTTCACTTAGATCTATAGCTAGCTCGTCTTTGCTGCCATGTAACCCAAATACTGACATAACCGCCCGTTTTGCATAGCTTTTCAGTATGGTGGCGTGGTTGGTCCCCATACCACCTATTTTACTCAATGATCCAAGTGGCACCATGAGGATCTGGTCAATCGTCAAAATCTCAGCCAGCCACAAGTCCTCTAATAGGCCATCAAAGTGTTTGGCCGGCAGTTTCTTGTGTATATAACTCACAAGATCCTTGGTACTGGGATATTCAGTTCCTTTTACACTCACAGGCGAAGTGTCATGTAATGTAGGTGTTATTGAGTGTATCAGCGACTCCCTTTTGCACATTCGCGACGGCTGAGTGCTAGGAGGAGGGCTTGGAGTACTTGGAGTACTTGGAGTGTGGGACCTACTAGGAGTGATATTTTTGATTGTTACATGGACATTGGGTATCCCGCTTGACACACACTGTTGTTTGCTCAATGTGCGGTCAAATTCCAGGCAGTGCGGTGGGCCATAAACTGATGCCTGTCTGAGCGACTAAATACTAACATCAGCATCTTTTTTCAGCCGCTACAAAACTGGACTCACAATTTTTTTAGCCCATAAAGTCATTTTTTCGTGGCTGAGACGGCGGTGGTTATCCATACCATGCTTCCTGTCGATGAAGCAATGGCCATGATGCATTTTGCATCGGATGGACTTCTCAAGGATCTTGAATGCCTTGAGCTGCGAGGTGAACTCTGGGTTGGGTTCAGGTGGGACATCATCAGTGCGGCTGCACTTCTTGCCTTTGTTAGTCACGGAGAAATGTGATGTGTGGCTATAGGTTGCTTAGCCACCCAAGAGCTGACTAGCAGGTTGAGAGTTCAAATCCTGTCTGTGTTAATTTTTTTTATCAGCCACACAACAATTTCCAACATCTATAAGATCATTTATAGAGCTATATGAGTCTCTATAAATGGCAGAAGTTCTATAACAGGTTTGATTACTATAACAGCTTTATGAGTACTTATAGTGCTATAGAGCTCTATATAGCTACCCCCATTTTTCCTGATGGATATGACGTAACACGTGAGTCCTATAATCACAAGGCTGGGAAACTGATAGTAACGTCGTAACAAAGGTGTTACCCATGGCCAACATACATAACCAAGGGAAAGCTTGAGTGAATGGGTGTACAATCTTTTGTTTCTTACAGGTATTATGTAATAATCACGCAACAAAATAACTCGCGGCTACATAGCATGGGAATCATAAGCTTTAAATTAACCAGGATAGCCATTCAACCTGGAAATATAAGCCCATAAACCGATGGGTGCGGCGGGCGCAGACATCACAATTAACCTGTGAAAAAGCGCATATATGCGCATATAATAGTGACATGCTGTACAGAAAGTCCATATGGATGACTGACATAACAGTGAGAGCACAGTTTGGGCTAACTTAACCGACAGTAATGGTGGGATATGATGATATAGGCCCGGATATTGATAAGTACAGTGGGTTCAGGTGTTACAAGCTATATGGTATATGAAAAAAGCGCATATATGCACATATAATACCAATATGCTGTGCTGCGGCTTCCCAAAAATGACTAAGCAGCGAGAGGACACAACTAAGCAAGCGATAACACAGTAACACCTTGTGCAATGGAGGGCAGAATGGCACATGAGTTGCAATGCAGCAAGCTTCACCGCACATACATAACCTAAATTGGGAGTAAAGTGCGGGGCAGAGGTGTGATGCAACAAGTCGCACCACACATCTGATTACATACGTAAACCAAATTGGGAGTAAATTGCAGGGCAGAATGGCGACTCAGTTGGGGTGCAGCAAGCTGCACCCCAACTTTGTCTGACTTAATAAACCATATAGGGAAAGTAGTAAACCAAATGAGGAAGGAGATCCAAATATGGGATAGAGCGTCAATGATATAGTGCGATGCTGCACCGCATGACATCATACGTTCCAATTGTTCCACCTAATTTGGCTCGTAACTAACCAAATTAGGCAGGAACTCTGCACTGCACACCACAAAAAAGAAGCATGGACTTACGCTCCAGGACTGTGTCAACATATTGGCGTTGCAATAGGGATATTGTTTTGAACGATCACGTTGGATTTCTGTTCCGAGGATGTATTTTGCTTCTACAAGGTCCCGCATTTTGAATATGGATTCGAGTTTGGCTTTTGTGATATCCATGAGTTTCCGGGATGAAGCTCCTAGGAGGAGGTCATCTACATAGACAACAACAAAGCATATTTGTTTGTTGTCCCGGAATACATAGAGACATGTTTCTGCATTTAGTCTTGTGAAACCGAGCTCCTGGAGCTTGCAATCAAAAGTTTTGTTCCATGTACGACCAGCTTGTTTTAATCTGTAGATGGATTTATTCAACCTCCAGCAGTATCCAGGTTGGATAGGAACACCCCTTGGAGGAAGCATGTACAGTTCTTCTTCAAGTTCTCCTTTGAGATAAGCTGTGGATACGTCCATCTGATCAAGTTCTAGGTCATACTTTGCTGCCAGGGCTAGAATAATTTGCATCAACTCTAAGTTTGCAACCGGAGCAAAAACTTCCTGGTAATCAATCCCCTCCCTTTGAGTAAAACCTCGTGCAACAATCCGGAGTTTGTATCTCTCAATGTTTCCGTTTTGATCAAACTTGATCCGGAACACAGGTTTTGATGTGATGGGTTTCACTCCCTTTGGAAGTGGAACAGTGTCATATACTGCACTAGTATTGAGACTTAGGAGTTCCTCCTCCAAGGCAGACTTCCATAATTCTCCATCCAGACGTGATAAGGCTTCCTTTAGTGTCCTTGGAAGGTCTGTGTTAGATGGACCGGTACTTGCTATTCCAGCAAAGAATGTCTCCTCTGTATCAGATGTTTCTTCATGAACCTCAGGAGTATTAGGTTTCTCCATGGAGTTGTCATGCTGCTCTTTTCAAGACTGTTGCTCATCTAGAGTCCTTTGATAATCTCGGTTTTTGTCTGCAGGATGAGTCTGGCAACTGCTTCTGCGTACTCCTAGGACTTCAGTAGGCATGACTGCTCTTTTAGGAACTTGTGCAGGTACTCCAGGGAGTAGACGCATTTGTGTGTGTGTTGCCCCACTCACTCCTGAAGGTGTTGAATCACTCCTTGGAGGCGTTGGATGCCTTCCAGAAGCTGATCCAATGGATAGGCTGTCTAGCTGTATTTGGACTTTTTCCACATCAGCTGGCTGTATGTTGAGGGGCTGTCCTCCCACTGACTGTAACTCTACTTTGGCTTTCCGTTCTGAAAATGGCCAGTGTTCAGGTCTTGGTTATAGATACTGTTGTGGAAGGTGTCTTAGCTGATCAGGTGCTCCCACTGCTCTCGGAACGTCTCCACGGAGGTATTGTCCCACTGCTCTCGGAACATCTTCATGCTGATATGGTTCCATTGCTTGTGGAACATCTCCTTGGAGATGTGGTTGTTAGTTTTGGTGATTCTGCACCTTTGTGCTACCTCTATATTTTCATTCCTTTCTCTATCTATCCCTCTACCATTCAGTATTGATTGTGTTCTCTATTATTTCGCCTTTGTGGCTCCTTTGTTTACCTTTGTTTACAAAACATCGGACAGTACTGCAGAGTCCAATGCTTCCTATTCTCTAGTTACTCAATTGGACTCTAGGTACTGTATACCTGTCATACTCTCTAATAATATAGTTACTCACATTGGACTCTAGTTCCAGTCCCTGATTGCTCTCAGCAAGTGGCTAGACACTTCCTTCAAGCTTTGTTCTTAATAGCCCTCCTTCACCATAGCGGGTGCGCTGCTCGCTCTTGCCAATCCCGACAACAATCCTTGGGGCTGGGGTCGTTGGCAAGCAATCACCCGCTACCCCACCACACCCTGGCTCGTGGAAGATGGTGTTCACAATATCGTCCATTGGAGCGTCCAGATGCGTGAAGCGGTTTCATCATTTGTGGCCTCATTCTTTGCTACACCGGCCAGCAAGAAGCTTCAAATGACTCAGTGCAAATCAGACACACACGTGGAAGGCCGCACAGCTTGGACATCCTTTGTTAGCGCGAATTGGAAATTGGTATGGAAAGCTCAAGATATCATTGACACTACGTTGAAGGAGCAGTCCTGTAGACCTTACGAGGAATGGGCTGGAGGAAATCCCACGATGTAAGTCGTCCAAATGTCAAGAGAGTGCTATGATGATTCCACACGTTCACACTCAAATCACTTGTTTAGCTTCTGACTTTAGATAGAGCTCAGGTTCACAAGGCATATCCATTCCTTGCATACGCACTCTTTGGTGAAGATGGTGCCACCGATGCCACTGCAACCTTCCTCAAAGACAATGTTCAAGACTTCCTCGAGCGGATCATGGCATGCACGTGGAACCGATACCGGAAAAATTTGAATCGCAAGCGGGTCAAAATGGTGGAACTTCAGGTGACAGTAAACACATCTTGGCTAGGTATGTTTAATGTTATCGCCATTCAATATGATCACACGTTAATTACTCTTATATTCCGCATTCTCATACAGAGTTAACTACAGGTAATATTACACCAACATCAGCTCGCATACAACGCTATCTGGCTACTTCAGACAAATTGATTACATTGTTGAAACAATACGACGATTCGGAATCCGTTAAACAGATCAAAGATCAGCGTCAACAAATTGTGGATATGCTGGGAGCGATGGGCCTGGATAAGGGAGGCAACAGCAATAAGATGCATGAGTATTGATTTTTTCAAAGTCCTTTTAATAGCATTGAGTTGAGTTGTTGATTTTGATTACAGGTATCCCTAAAATGTGAAGAGATGCATTGGAGAAACTGGCCACCACGGACCAAGTCTCAGCATTGGAACAAGCCATCTATGAGTTCATGGAACACTTTGCGGATCAGGAGACGCAAGACTTGCCCGCCCTCAACTTTGAATCAGGAGTATTGGTTGCTTGGAAAAAAGGAGTTGAAGAATTTGTGGACAAAACCAAGGACAACCTTTGGCGGATACTTGGGTTGGAACAATTGCGCACTCTCCCACATTTTCAGACCAAGACTGATCCCACCACCACGGTTAAGCCTTGGTCAAATGAAGGGCAGAAATGGCTGGACAAAAATCAAGCAGCGGTTGCACTGACTCCAAAATGGCATCAACTGGTCGGCATTGTAAGGATCATAGACAAAATGCTGAAGGGGGAACCAGTATTGCTGATGGATGAGGTTGGCGTAGGCAAAACAATGCAAGCAATTGGAGTGGTAGCATGTGCTGCCTACTTTTGCAATTTCTATGACATACACGGCAAGTTTCCTGGGATCTTTGGTAAGTAGTACTGCTCGGGCGTCGCGGACAATTAAACTGGCTAACAGTGTTCTTGATCGTTCTTTAGGTCAATACAAGTGTGCCTCAACTGGGGCCAATCTACCTGATTATCCGACGATCATTGTTTGCCCCACAAACCTCCATGCTCAATTAATGAACGAGATTGAGCGGTATTTATGTTACGGAACCTTCGACCTTTTGCCTTACACCGGCAAGCCGCAACAATGGGAGCAATAGTGGGAGACCATATGGACACAATCCAAAATGTCCCCTGGTTGTTGCATTGTACTGGCTCCTCAAACAGTAAGTTTTAATCTCATTGATTTGATTATCTCTCATTAATGATGTAATTTGACTTAGGCATTGCAAAGCAATTCAGACACCATCTGGGTTGCTTTGGACAGCAACCACGGTGCGCAGCCTCAATTTGCCATTCTGCACCAAAAATGGATCAAAAACATGGTCTACAGCCAACAATAGGGTCTTTTTATTATGGACAAAGCTCACATTGCGCAGAAATACAACAAGCTCTACGTCGCAGTTCGGGCTCTACGTCATCAGGCCAATGTCACTATCGCGCTAACTGCTACACCGGTGCTGACAAGACCATCCGTAAGCCAATGTGAAGAATATTTATTATCAATGCTAATGAATTTGTATTTTGAATGTAGGATCTATGGCACGTTGGTCGCTTCATGGGGCTGTCTGGATTTGAAGGCCCCAACAATGACAACAGATATAGGACTATGAACAAGGGGATAAACGCATCTCAGCGTAAAGATTGAAGGTCGAGAAAGCAAGACAACCTCGATGCAACCCTTCTTTGTGGTGTCATGGTTGGTAACAACAAATTTGCTAACGACGACGCGTCCAAATATTGCACATCCATCCTCAGCTGGATGAATGTCATGCGCGACAAATTTGCGGGTTCAGTAATTTGCAGAACTGTGGACTCAAAGGATTTCAGTCAAAAACCCTTACGCTGAGCACCCTCTGCTACTTTCTATGTACGATTGGGAGCACAAAAACTTGCATAACATTGCAAAGGAGCTCATGGATGATAATCCAACTGCTGCGTACTACTGCACTGAAAAGGTGAGCTTCCTACGTGGGACAGGCGTCCTGGACACCCCCCGCCTCCACAGACCTTACTTTTACTAAATCTCACCGCTTTAACAGAATTTTTAATAACGAATTTTGCAGAGCTCTTTACATCCAAAGGCGAATGAAGCCAGGAACACAGAGCCATCGGAGAAGCCATCTACATTGGAGCAGTAGCGTGATAAGGCAACGGTGATTGTGAAGCTCAACGTGCTCGGACAAGTGATTGATTATCACCTCCAGCAAGATGGACATCGACCAGTGATGGCAACCAAGGATGGGCCCCATAATTAGCCAGACAATTGGTACAGTTCTTTTGAATGCCACCCAGCAGAGTGCAACAAAATTGTAGTGTATTCAGCATTCCCGACGTCTAATCACGCAATTTTGGATTTGAGTTATTCATTTACTACCCGACGTACACTTACATTTAAACCGCATTGAAGATTCTTGCCATTTATGGCATTGAAGCTGTAGAATTGAATGGAAGCTATTAAGAACAAAGCTTAAGGGAAGTGTCTAACCACTTGCTGAGAGCTATTAGGGACTGGAACTAGAATTACTTAACAATGAATAATGGATGTTCAGGGGGGGGAAAGAGGGGAGCTTACATGTGACGAGAATGAGACGGCCAACTGTGATAGTATTGTAAATGATCATTCCTGCATCGTACTGCGAGCAAATTACATACAAATAAATATTAAGAACAAAGCTTGAAGGAAGTGTCTAGCCACTTGCTGAGAGCAATCAGGGACTGGAACTAGAGTCCAATGTGAGTAACTAGATTATTAGAGAGTATGACAGGTATACAGTACCTAGAGTCCAATGTGAGTAACTAGAGAATAGGAAGCATTGGACTCTGCAGTACTGTCCGATGTTTTGTAAACAAAGGTAAACAAAGGAGCCACAAAGGCAAAATAATAGAGAGCACAATCAATACTGAATGGTAGAGGGATAGATAGAGAAAGGAATGAAAATATAGAGGTAGCACAAAGGTGCAGAATCACCAAAACTAACAAGGGCATGGTTTTTTTAATGTATTCAGTATGAGGTAAAATGGAATAGGTGAGTTTGGGGGGAGCAGCAGTTTCAAGGACTCAATTTATTCAATGTTTTAAAGGCCAACCCTTTTGACCAGATACATGAGGTGGATATTATACTGACACCGTGATACCTGAAGACAAAGCACTATCATTGTCAACTAGAACAATGTAATATCTCATTGATTATTGTACCATTTGATGGACACTGGAATAAAAACAAAGCAATTACCTAACCAGCAAGCAACAAAGATCAAAGCAGGTGAAGCAAGGGCTTTTTGGGCTTCCTGGACGCCCACCCACGGCACTACATGTGAATCCAGTTGTAAAATGTTATTGTGGTATATGGGTTATGGGTTAACCCAAGCATAAAAGATCAAAGCGGGTGAAGCAAGTGCTTTTTGGGCTTCCCAGACGCCCACCCGTGGAGCCAGGTGAGAATCCCTTTGTGAAGTGTTATTGTGGTATATATGGCTTAACCCAAGCAACAGAGATCAAAGCGTGTCAAACAAGTGCGTTGTGGGTGTCCCGGATGCCCACCCCTGGCGCCAGGTGAGAATCCCTATGTAAAGGTTATTGTGGTATATGTTTAACCCAAGCAACAGAGATCAAAGCGGCTGAAGCAAGTTAAGGTTAGATGCCCCACTGTGGCAGTAGGTAAGGGTAAGGTTGGCTTTTCAAAGCGTTACAAATGCAAGATGTGGGCTTCCCGGACGCCCCTTGGTGGCACTGGCTGAAATAATCCTTGGACAAAGCTGCACAAAGCACATCCAGGTGTCCAGGACACCCCACTGTGGCATGAGCTGGGAATGCTTTCTAGCGCTGTAAAGCAATCCTAAGTGCATTCCAGGTGTCTAGGACACCCCCCTGTGGCACTGAGCTTGGGAGTGCTTTGCTAAGCACTGCAAAGCAACCCTAAGGGCATTCCGGGCGTCTAGGAAGCCCCAATGTGGCACTGAGCTTGGGATTGCTTTGCAAAGCACTGCTAAGCGTATTCTGGGCTTCCAGGATGCCTAATTGTAGCACTAAGCTCAGCATTGACGTCTGATCCATACTATGATATACTTTTTGGGAAATCTTTCTTCTATCTAGCGATTGCTTTAGCAATTTCTTCCTCATCCACATTGCCTTCATAGAGCTTTTCATGCAGGGACTCCAGTGGTAAACCTTTGATAATATCTAGAGGATTTACAATGTTCCTCAATGACTTACTCATCTTGGCAGAATAAGCATCTCACATCATCCTATGGCATAACAATTCTTGGAAAGGTACTTGTCTAGTTACTTGTCTGGTTAAGATGAATGTGAAGGACCCAGAAGAAAAGAATGTCCCAACCTACCTCTAGCATAGATGATGCATGAGATTGTGCAAAGCACTGCTGAGGGTGTTCTGGGCTTCCAAGATGCCCCAAAGTGGCACTGCCCGACCACTGTGCCAAGCACCATACAGTGCATGTCTGGGTGCCGAGTGTTTGGTGCCTTTGCTACCCTCGCTGAAGGGTCAGTGCAATCTTTGACGCCCAAATAGGTTGCCACAGGACTTGCAACTGAGGTGTGTATCACACCTTTGTGTTCACGTCACACCACTATGTTACATCACAATGCAATCGACCAAAGTAATGCAATGTGTACTACTCATCTGTTAAATTGTAACCCTAGACTGGGTGTGCAAGTGCAAATGCCAAACCTCAACCCACAGTGCATATAGTTTGCATCTTACGGCATACCACAAGTGCAATTTGGGGTGTCCAAGAAGCCCCTTTATATGCCTTCCTCCCATGGCAGTAGGCAAGTGCTTGCGTGGATATATACCCATACCCTGAAAAGCATGAAAATTTGGGTAAATTCCAACCCTAGAAATGGGTCTGAACCAACCTACAATGTCTCATAACCATCTCGGCATTAAAACAATAAGGGGCACAATCATTGGCTGATAAGCCATGGTAACATGTGGTACCCCGGTCCGGGTGCGTGTCCAAAATTTTGGACACTGGCTTCCTCTCCCAAGGAGTAGGAGCCCGGTGGATGGATAGGCCGGCCCGGCCCAAGCGTTATATGGAATTACCTCGAGAAATAGCTCGAGTGCTTCATACACTGCCTGCCAGTTTGCAATAAAATGAGAAGACTCAGACCAACTGAAGAGCATCTTGCGAAATTACCTAGCCCTCTCTCCTTAGTGGGGGGTAATCTTGGTCAAAATCGCTTCCTCTTTTTCTCAACAGCTATCACCACCTCATGACCTTCGGCCGCACGGTGACCACTTAACAGTCTATAGGCTTGTTCTATCTGATAATGGACAGAGCAGAGAAGATTGGAGCTTTATGCACACACCAGATACACTGAGTGCATAGCCAAATATATCCATGAGAAAAATCACATAGCGAGGCTTTTCGCCCAATGGGGGTGCTCAGGCAATGGTGGGAAGGTAGCAATGGCGTACAAGGTATACGTATTTACTATCATGATTTTTGAGATGTTTCGAAGTGTGATAACCTGGGAAATAGCTGTCGACAATGTACATGCTTGATTCTCAGTGGTTTGTGGAGGTTTTTTGTAATTTTAAGCTATCAGGCACTACTTATTTACATAGATAACAGGTCAAAGGGTCAACGAGCAAGTCTAGATGAATTACGAAGAAGATGATAAATACATAATCCCCCTACATGCTGTGAAAAATGTTGGTTGGCTCACTGACGTTCCCTTTGTAAACCCCTCTGTCATTGGGACAGTGGAGAATATCCATACACTTCAAGATTCATGGAAGAATATGATGTGCTTTTAGTGGAGCCTCACGAAAGCTCAGCTGTGACCCACAAAGCTGAGCTGG